GAAGCACACTCTTCGCTGAGCAGGGAGCCCCAGGCCACACAGGGCTCCATCCCCGGACTCTGGGATCATGACCTGAGCCCAAAGCAGACACTTAACCAACTGAGCCACCCCGGCGCCCCAACTTGCTTTCTACTTCATAGTTTTCATTGTGAAAACAAAAGTATTTAAAAGATTCTTTCTTTTTTTTTTTTTAAGATTTTATTTATTTATTTGAGACAGACAGAATGAGAGAGAGAGAGCACATGAGAGCGGGGAGGGTCAGAGGGAGAAGCAGGCTCCCTGCCGAGCAGAGAGCCCGATGCGGGACTCGATTCAGGGACTCCAGGATCATGACCTGAGCCGAAGGCAGTCGCTTAACCAACTGAGCCACCCAGGCGCCCTAAAAGATTATTTCTATAACCTCTCACAAACCACGTCTATCCATCTATCTGTATCAGTGCCCACGTGTCTTATTAAATGAATGAATGGTCCACAACCTATTAAGACCAACACATACACCTGTGCATCAGCTCCCATCTTTTTGCCTATTCAAGGACACTACTACTCCAATATTATTTATACTCTGTTGCATCAATTTTTCCGTCTCTGACCATTCCTATTTGCATACATGCATGCTACAATTTCTTTCATCTTAAAGCCCTACATTTCCTATTTCCCTGCCCCCTATACAGAAAAATTCTTCAAAAGACAAGGTTGTTGTCTCCATTTCTTCTCCTCCCAGTCTCTTGCCAGAACTCATGCCAGTCAGGCTCTTGCCCCAATCACTCCACTGAAACTGCTTATATCTAGTCACCAATGCTCATATCCACTTACCATGTCGCTAAGTTCTTAGCTCTCATCTTTTCAGCAGATCAACAGAAAAGTACAACAGAGCTCAGATTGTTCTGACTCCTGCTACTGCTGAGGTTGCTTGCAATGTATGATTAGCTAGGAGAGGTTTGGGCTTGTGAACCACCATAATGGGGAACTTGCCTCATACATTTCTATTTTAGAACTGGTTTGGGAATCGCTTCTTGGCCTTTTGGCTAAGATCAAGTGTAGAACTGGTTTGGGAAATTAACAAGGAGGGGCCAGGAAGAGTATGAGTAAAATACAGCATTCTGTTTGGCTCCTAGCAAGCCCACATCCACTTTGCTTGTCTTCCTAATCCCAGTTGCTACATCCATTAATTCAAGGAACCCACAGTTCATGACTCTGCTCACCCTTAGTTGCACAATCCAAATGATCTTGCAGGACTCTGACTTGTAATCCACACTTGTCTTTAGAATGATTCTCTGGCTGATTTCACCTTTCAACACATTCACTCAAGTGGCTTCAAGGCACTTCAGCCTGTTTTCCATGCTCAAATTAGCCACAATCTTAACCTTGCCCTTCAGCAAGGGCTTTAACAGCAACCATAAAAATGAACCTATTAATATTAACACTTTTTCATTCTTAACACTCTTACTATAATGATATTTTTAAATCATTCACAATTTTTCTTTGAAGAAAGATAGGGTTTTTTCCCTCCTAGTAGATGTGAGTATATTAACATTCTACTCAAAGGGGCCCACTCAAGCTTTCCTTATCATCATAATGAAAAGTCATAGAGGTGAGTCAACACATGTAACCAAATATTCTGCAAGTCTCTGCCTCCTTCCTTTCTTTTCCTTCTGATAAAGAACCAGAATAGAAAAACCAAAGAGGAAAACAGGGTGTGGAGAGCATACTTTGGTCTGTCCTTGACTTCATAAACTCAGTCTTCTCAGGTACCCAAAGTTGTTCAGATTCAGGGGGCTAATTCACACTAAGCAAATTCAGAGTGCCTCAGTTTCCTTGCCTGTAAATAGAGATAATAATGCCTTATAGATTTGTTGTGGAGATTAAATGAAATTACATATGTAATGCACCTAAGACCTAGCACATAAAATTGTACAATAGATAATTGCAGGAAAAGTTATAAATCATAATATATAAGTTACTATATACATGTGGAATATATACCTTTCCTACGACTGAAATATCATTATTCACTTCTCAAGACATACTTGCCAGGATAGGATACCTGGAAAGCAATATTTTTAACTATTAAGTTTCCTTGAGAAGCAGAAAATACTGGCTGACTTCAAAGGATTTTTCATCCAGTTACAGCTATCCACAGAAGAGCACCCCTCACCAGTGACCAGAACTTACATGTCCACCAATCATAGAGTCCTGCCCTCCCAGACTCACCTTTCCTGTTTGTAATACTGATGGCCCCTGCAGGTTCAGTCCAGTTTCCAGAGTTTTTTCACCTTATGCCCTGGTCTCTTGAATGTCTAAGCTTTCTCTTCTCTGTCCTCTCCTGGGGAACTTGGCCCTATATCTGTCCTTTCCTCTGCAGACTCTATCTCACCACCTGCTTTGAACTCTGCTTTCCTGTCTAAGCTTCGTACCTAGACAGTCCTCTTAGTCCAGATTGTCGTGGTCTTGATTTCAGACAAATTAACTCTTATTTGGCCCTTTGCTGAGACAATTCCCTTGCCCTGTTATATGAAAACCCTAGGTGAGGCTAAACCTCGTCGTAACACAAATATACACTCAGGACATTTCCCACTGATAAGAGTCTCAGAGGCAAGTTGATGGGGGTGGTGGTAGGAAAAGATTATGCTTGTTTTTGTCTTGAGACAAATGACGTTTCCCTGCCAGACTCTTTAGCAACTGCCCTCTAGCCACAGACACAATGACGTCCAAGCTCCACACATCTTCCTCCACTGCTGCTTTTATCATTCCTCTTCCCAAGAGAAATTCAGAGTCCTCAGAGTTGTTCTTCCAGTTCTAAATGAATCTCTTCAAAGAAAGACTAAATCTCAAGTATATGGTAGTGTGGTAAAAGTTGAGCATGTCTCACTTGCGTTCTCATTTTCTGGATCCTGTCAGAAGATATAATAGATGGTTTTCCCCACCCTGCTGGAATGTTCTTTGCTCAATCTTCTAGGTCTTCTGATCTCTCTGAACTGCCTGTTTGGTGACCCACCTGTTAGGAAACAGCTGGGGATGCCATTCTTAGGCTCCAGCAGAGGGCACTATAGTTCTGGCTTTTCAAACAGAAGCATGAATGGCACAATTCAGCCGAGAATGAACTGGCCAAAGCCTTTAAGCCCCTCCGCCTTTCCAAATGGATAAACCTACTGAAGTTATAGAAATGTATCTTGGGGCGCCTGGGTAGCTCAGTCGGTTAAGCATCTGCCTTTGGCTCAGGTCATGATCCCGGGGTCCTGGGATGGAGCCCCGCACCAGGCTCCCTGCTTCTCCCTCTCCTGCTCCCCCTGCTTGTGCTCTCTCTCTGTCAAATAAGTACATCTTAAAAAAAAAAAGGAAAGGAAATGTATCTTGGAAACAACCCATATGTCTTTAGCTGCTACAGACCATCATCCCCTATCCACCTGAAATTAGAGGAGAAAAGATACTCAAGCTACTTGTAGCTTCAGTCTGCCAAAGTCTAAGGAGTAGGCACCTGCAAGATGAGTGCCTACGTCTGTAGAGCAGCAAATAGGCCACTTTTTCTATGGAGTCTCAGCCTCTCCCCACTAGTTTTCCCCACTGGGAGTGGTCCAATCTACAGCAGAGTGGCCCACCGGGTTCAGTCCTTTCTGTTGCCCCAGTGCTGGACATAGGAAATGATACTCCACATTTCAGTGGAGTTCAAGGAGGCAGGGATCTGCCTTGGAACAAGGTAATGGATATCATATGCCCCACCGAACTCCAGGCTGCTTCCAGGGTGAGCAGACACCTTTGACAGGACTCCCATTGAGCTGCACACAAGGGATTCCAGCAAGAGGCTAGTTCTATCAGTTTATGTTTTCCCATAGTCCTTTGTCTTGCCTGGAAGCCATGATTAGATGATTTCAAGAACAGGTTAGTGTGGTAGTTAAGACCATGGGCTCTGGAGCCAAACTGCCTGAGTTAAATTCATGCCTCTGTCATATGCTAGTTTAGTGAACTTGGGCAAATTATAAACTTCTCCAGGACTCTGTTTCCCTATTTGTAAAACACGATAATAATAGTGCCTACCTTTTATAGTTGTGCTGAGTGCATTCACTAAGTATTAGCTTGGTTTATCGTTATCATCTCTAGAAGATCCATGTAGCCCCTTTTACATCAGCAGTCTGCAGCCAACACTAAGTTCTCTGTTATCCCGTGCCCCATCTACTTCCCATGTGTTCAGAATACTGAACAAGTGCACCACTTTGAGGAAGATATTTTTGGACACAGAGGCAAAGGAACTGCCCCCATATGTAAAATGTGCCCTAGTTCCCTGGGCTCATGCTCCTGTCCACTTCTTCCCAATGCACTGACAATTTCCTTGTGCCAGAGAAGACAATAAATGCAAGATAGCCTTCCAAACACACTTCAGCTAATTTCACTCTATGTTATTGCTCCAGCCAACTTCAAGGGATTAATGCCCAGCATCTAATAGGAAATCCTAGATAGGAGTCATTTTTTATGTACAATACCACATTTTCTCTCAAACTGATCTTGTGTGAATTTCTAGTCAGGGTGGTATTACTCTGCTTGCAGCAACACCAACTTGCAAGTAATGTGTGTTAGATATTATCACCATTATGTACTAAGCATTTGGAACAGTCAGGCAAGTATCCTAACCTAGAAGTCAGAATTCTGGGAGCCATTGAGGTAGACCCATTCTAAAAATTCTTCAACCTGAAAACATTGTGGCCTGTCAGTCCCACTTACAACTAACCAGAGGCAATAGGCACAGTAGTGGATAAGGAAGACTTTGGACTACTCCAGTGGTCCTAGGAAGCCGGTAATATTGAAAAATCTGCAACATTAATTTGAGTAAGTGGAAGATCCACCCAAGTACTTTTGCACCACTCCAATGTCCTTCATAGAACATTCAAAGTATTAGATGTGGTCTTATGGCAACTCCCAATTTATGGCCCAGTTCTAGAAGAAATGGTCAGGCCCTTTGTATCTATTTACTACCAAAAACTATATGGAGCATAGTATTAACTGGGTGGATGAAGAACCTCTGTTACACTATCTACCCACAAAATGGTGAGTTTATCTACCTCGCCACAGTGTAGTTTGCTTATAAAGAGCTCATTGCCTCCCTCTACCCGGGACATGCCCATTCACAGTACCTGTGGCATGATTTTTACCTACAGCTCACCACTCTTCACTCCAAGTGGCTTCTAAAACTTGGCAGCTGGGGGAAATTAGGGGTTACCAAAAGTATCTTCTAGCTTGCCAAAAATCAATCCAAACAGTATGCCAACTGGTGCTTGATTCAGGAGGAAGGCATCCAAATGGGTGATACTGTCCAGCACATCTCCAAGTACACAGTAACCATTTATATGGGAAGCTGGGAGCCTACTACTTAGAAACTGAGATAACAGAGAACATCACCTGGTTGTACCCTTATAGACAATCAGTCTGAGGCCTCAGAACCAGACAAAAAGCTCGTGCAATTACCTGCACCCAGACCAGTAATTACTTGCAGTCAAGGTCCCATTGCCCACTTAGGAATGTGCTCTTACTCTTTCTCCCCAGAACGTATCTACTTGGCCACAGACATTCTGGCACCCCCACCTTGCCCAAAGTCAAATGACACTGCTTCCAGGAACTGGCCCCTCATTGCTATAACCTGTGATGAAGTACAAATCAGCCCCCTGATTCAGTTCAGGTTTCCAGAACTCTCTATTCTGTCACCTGTCCAAATCTTCAACTATCAAAGGAAGGGTTTCAAACAGTGCTCCTCTCTGGCAGGATCATTCTCAAAGAATGTGAAAGGAGATTTCCACTGGAGTGCAAAAGTGGGGAAGGAGGGACAGAAATGAATGAGTGGGGTCAAGCCAGAATGAAGGGGAAAAGCAGGAGCTGGGGAAATACTCCAGAAGAGAAGTGGCATCCCCGTTCTCCACTAGAGGTGAGTCTGTGATCGCAACAATTTCCGGAGAATGGCAGACTTTGATCCAGTTCCTGACAAGCTCAGGATTCTGAGATGCAAGTCAAATCTAGCCTATATATTTTTTTAAAAGATTTTATTTATTTATTCATGAGAGACAGAGAGAGAGAGGCAGAGGGAGAAGCAGGCTCCCAAGGAGCAGAGAGCCCGATGCGGGACTCGATCCCAGAACCCTGGGATCATGACCTGAGCCGAAGGCAGACGCTTAACCATCTGAGCCACCCAGGCGCCCCAAATCTAGCCTATTTAAGCAGAACATGAATTTATAAAAAGAATATTGGTGGGTTAACATCAAACTAAATAACTGCACAGCAAAGGAAACAATCAACAAAATGAAAAGGCAGTCTACAGAATGGGAGAAAATAGTTGCAAACCATATATTTGATAAAGGACTAATATCCAAAATACATGAGAAACATCTATAATTCAAAAGAAAAAAAAATGATTAAAATTGGCGTAAGGTCTGAGTAGACATTTCTCCAAAGAAGACACACGTATGGCCAACAGGTATATTAAAAGATGCTCAACATCACTAATCTTCAGGGAAATTAAAACCACAATGAGATACCACCTCACACCTGCAAAAAATGGCTGCTATCAAAAAAAAAAGAAAAGAAAAGACAACATGTTGGTAAGAATGCGGTGAAAAGGGGGAACCTTTGTGTACCATTGATAGGAACATACACTGGTGCAGCCATTATGGAAAACAGTATGGCAGTTCCTCAAAAAAGTAAAAATAGGGGTGCCTGGGTGGCTCAGTCGTTAAGCGTCTGCCTTTGGCTCAGGTCATGACCCCAGGGTTCCTGGGATCGAGCCCCGCATCGGGCTCCCTGCTCAGCAGGAAGCCTGCTTCTCCCTCTCCCACTCCCCCTGCTTGTGTTCCCTCTCTCACTGTGTCTCTCTCTGTCAAATAAATAAATAAAATCTTCAAAAGAAAAAAAAGTAAAAGTAAATCCTATTTCTGGGTATGTATCCAAAGGAATTGAAATTATGATCTCAAAGAGATATCTGCACTTCCATGTTCATTGCAGCATAATTCACAGTAGCCAAGACATGGAAGCAACATAAATGTCCATCAATGCATAAATGGATAAAGAAGTGTCGTATATATACACACACACAATGGAATATTATTCAGCCTTAAAATTAAGAAGGAAGTCCTGCCATTTGCAACAACATGGTGAACCTGGAAGACATGCTAGGTGAAATAAGCCAGACAAAGAAAGACAAATACTGTATCACCATTTATATGAAGAATCTAAAGTAATCAAACTTGTAGAAGCAGTAGACTGGTGGTCGCCAGAGGCTCGGGGGCGGGGGGCGGGGCGCGGGAAGAAATGGAGGGGCAGTAGTCAAAGAGTACAAAGTCACAGTTATATAAGATGAATAAATCCTAGAGATCTGTACATTATAGAACCTATAGTTAATACTGTATTATATACTTAAATTTTTCCTAAGAGCATAGATCTTCTGTTAAATGTTCTTACCACAAAATAAATAGTAACAATAAAGAGGGTGGGAGGAAATTTTTGGAGGGGATGGATGTTTATGACCTAGATTGTGGTGATGGTTTCACAGGTGTATACTTACCTCCAAACTCATTAAGTCGTACATATTAAATACGTACAACTACTTGTATGCCAATTTTACAATAAAGTCGTTTTTACAAAAAAAAATATTGGGAAGTACATAAAAGCTGTAAAAGGAACAGAGAAGCAAGTTTGGTGGACAGTAACCGAATCACGCTGCAGGCCTGGTTGGGCACAGACGCTGTGTTCAGTACTGTGGCAGGTGCTGTTGCCACCAAGGACCCCAGGCTCCGAATGTGCTGCTAGAAATAAGATGCAGCTTCGCTGCTGCCACTTCCCATTAGAAGAAGACTACATAGGCCCTGCTTCTCTGCAACCTTCCTCTTTGGTTCAGAATCTGAAGCAGGTGTCTGGCCTAGCCAAAACTCTTTGCCCATGCTGTAGCTGCAAGAGAGCCTGGCATCTTGGTCCATTTGGACGGCTGTCACAGAATGCCATAGACTGGGGGGCTTATAAACAACAGAAATTTACTTCTCACAGTTCTGGAGGCTGGAAGTCTGGCATCAGTGAGTCAGCGTGGTCCGGTGAGGGCCCGAAGGTTGCAGACTTCTCATTGTGCCCTCATGTGGTGGAAGGGGCGAGGGAGCTCTCTGAGGCCTCTTAGGACACGAATTCCATTCATAAGGGCTCTACTCTTATGACCTAATCACCCCCTAAAGGCCCCACCTCCAAATACTATCACCTTGGGAACTGGGTTTTCAACATACGAATTTAGAGGGAACACAAGCATTCAGACCTGGGTAAGGAAGCTCTGGTTTTTTGAGCCTCCATAGTGAGATTCCAGTTTTGCTTTGGAGGGGATTCCCAAACCCCCATAAGAATGCTAGGTCTAGGGGCACCTGGGTGACTCAGTCAGTTAAGCGTCTGCCTTCAGCTCAGGTCATGATCCCTCGGTCCTGGGATCGAGCCCCACACTGGGTTCCCTACTGGGTGGAGAGTCTGCTTCTTCCTTTCCCTCTGCCCCTTGCCCCATCCATTCTCTCTCTCTCAAATAAATAAAATCTTAAAAAAAAAAAAAAAAGAAAAAAGAATGCTAGGTCTACACTGACCTACTCTACCCTACCTAACCTTACCTTACTCTACACTACTTTTCCAGCCCCTTCCCTGCCCCTCTCTACTTTACCTTGCACTAATCAGGCTCCAAATCAATAGCAAGCTGAAACCTCTCTACTGCTGCTATCTTCTACACACTTGCTATCCTGCTGCCTGAAATGCTCTTCCTGATACCACTATGTCCCATGGACTCCTCCTTATCCTCCAAGACTTAGCTCAAACGTAACTTCCCTATTAGACCAATTAAAGTTCTGCAAATATGCCAATTCCAGGAAATGAGTGTCCATCCAGATAAAGGACCTTTTTCACCTGCACTAACCCTAAGTATCTGTCAATATCCTGATTCCAGTAGGAGGCCACTCAAAACCCAGGAGTCAGAGAGGAGCAAGAGAATGGTGAGGGAGGTCTCATGATCACTGGGTTCTCCCTCCCTCCCTCCTGACACAGGCATTGTAATTTGACATCTGAGATCCTAAGATCAGATTTGAGTGGCAAGGAGAGATCCCTGCCGTGTGCCTGGTTGGCATGGAGACTAGAGACTCAGAAAGTCAAATAGCCCTATTTGCTAAGTACTCATAACAAGTCTGCTCTTGTTTCAGACCAGAAGGAACTGGTGCCCACTAGGCTTCCCCCTATTATCCCAGAAGATGGGAATTATTCTGTGCACCAGAATAGCCACAAAAGGTACCACGAAGCTGTAAAGAAGGTGTTGTTAAAGACATGTAAGTATTGAGTCTGGGTGGCTCAGTCAGTTAAGCTTCTGCCTTTGGCTCAGGTCATGATCTGGGGCTCCTGGGATCAGGCCCCGGTCTGGCTCCCAGCTCAGTGGGAAGCCTGCTTCTCCCTCTCCCTCTGCTATTCCCCCTGCTTGTGCTCTCTCTCTCGGTCTCTCTCA